GGGGGGGGGGGGGCACTGAGGCCTCCAGTGTGGTGGTGACGCGTGTGTTTTCATCGACTTCCTCTCTCCTTGCTGCGTGTAGTTGCAGCTCTGTAATTTCATTCATAGGCATCGAGGGTTATGTCCTCTTGACTAGGGGGCCCCTTATCCTTGATGAGACCTTTATTCCGGGTGATGGCTTTGCTCTGGAGCCTCTTCCACCTGATGGACACAGGCGCTCCAGCTTTCCTGTGACGCGCCAGCATGGCATGTTCTCCATCCCTCCTTCCTGCCCACTCGTGCCGTTCACACGGCCGCTGTGTTTCTCGGTCCCCTGTGGTCTAGGGGATCCATCCCTTTTCTTGTGCCGTTTATTTGTTGAAGAAACGGACTCTGCGGGTCTCTACAGTGTCTGCATTTTTGATGGCTGCTCCTAGTATTAACACGTTTCTCTAGCTTGCTTAGATTTAGGTTTTTCTTTATTTTGGCCGGTGTACTTCATACGTGACGCCCTGCACTTCCTTCCTGTTGAATTTATCAGAAGGACTTGGCATCTGCTTCTCTAAACGTTAATCATATTAAGAATGATCAGCAGGGTCGGGGGATTCTCAGCCTGGCCTTTTTATTATGACTCTCTCCATGATGTTTACCAAGCGGTTTACTAAGTGATGGGCACCTCTGTTCATTATTTTTATTAGCGACTGTAAAATGACTCCCTAGTTCTGCCATTCTTCCTACACCCGTTAGCTAGGATTTGTCCGTAAAGAAGAGATTCCTCTCATCAACTGGTTAGTTACCATGAAACCTAGTTAGTGCAGGGAGGGCAGGGCGCACGCTGGAGCCCTTCTCTTTATTAACTTGCAGAATAGGGAGCCGATGCTTCACTGGAAGGTGTGTGAGTCTTCAAAGGGGAGGTGTAAGTTTTTCTGGGAGGTATTGTTATTAAGTCACGGATTCAAAAACAGTTTATGTATTTTAGTCTCCTCGCAGGCATTATTCTTTTTATTGTTACTGTGATCCCCTCCCGTGTGTTTTCACACGGCTCCGGTCCGTTTGGCAGCTTGACTGGGATCTAACACAGGACAGCTCAGGCTCGCCTTTCTGTTCCTCCCCGGCTGGGATGGGTACTTTCTCTGGCAGCGCTGGCTCCTTTTAGTTCCTGCTACACGCGGCATTTAGCGACCACAGCCTGGATCCCAGACCTGCAGGCACCTGGGGTTTTCATGCCTTTTAGGATTTTCAGTAGGCAGAGCTAAGAAGTTTGTGGATTTTGTTATGTGAAGAAATAAGTCATGCATTTATTTAAATTAAATCTTAGGGTTTTTAATTAACTTCTTTGATTATATATTTGTTTTTTTCCCCTTAGGCTGAAAGTCTTTGTTCTAAACAACATCAAAATATTTAATAATTTCAAAATAACAAAACTGATATTATTGCCAATAATGAACCTACTGAATACTCTTTAAATTAAAGATTTCCTTGTGGTTCTTTGTGTGCTTGAGATATGTCACGCTAGATACAAAATTAAGTCCCCTGACGTGACCTTCCTCTGCGCGGTTGTGCTACCATTTTGGCGTATAGTGATTTGTTCCAGTTGGTTTTTTATTTTTCAAGATTGCTTTGCTACTTTTGTACATTAAAAAAAATTACCACGTTTACATGGTCTGGAAGTTGAAAGAATGAAACAGGGTGGTTCAGAGAGGTTTGCGTCTCCCCTTGCCCCTGGCCCCCTTCTTTCCCTCCCGCCAGAGGCGGCCCTTCTGGAATCTTTGGCTCATTCTCTTTGAGGACGTGATGCTACATATCAGCACATTCATACTTCCCCCGGTGTTTAGAAAGAGCACGCTACTCCCTTTTAAGTTCCTGGCTTTTCCCCAATTATTAATATATTCTGCAGGCTATTCTTGCGCATGAGAGAGAGAGAGCGAGGGAGAGAGCGAGCGAGCTTTCTTGGGCTCTTTCAAGCAGGTGTGTTGAGCATAAAACGAAATGTCCGTGTAGGGGCCTTAACGGCGTCTCCCAGGGGCTCCCAGTCTTGCTGTTGCACAGGGTGGGGCGGTGACTGGCCTTGTTCACGCTTCATCCCACAGTCTGCCTGCTGGTCTTGGGGAGACTTTCTTAGAAATAGGGTTGCTAGGTCAAGGGGCAAATGTATGTATTTTCTCAGGAGACGCTGGCAGATGCCCCTTGGTGAGGCGGGACCATTTTGTATTCCCAGTTTAACGGGGATATTAAGTTAATAAAATGTTTTATTCTCAAGCATGTTTGTTTTAGGTTTTTAAAAATATGTTCTTACAAGTTAAGGTGTTTTTTCCTATTCCTAGATTAGTTTTTTAAAAAATTAAGAAAAAAGTTCTATTGATTTCTAGAGAGTGAGGAAGGGAGAGGGAGGGGGAGAGAGAAATACTGACCCAAGAGTGGAACATGGTCACTGCCTCCGCCCCCCCAAACCCCACCAGGGATCAAGCCTGCAGCCCGGGCATGTGCCCTGATGGGGGAGCCGAACCCGTGACCTTTCTGTTAATACTGATAAACCCATGAGAAGGTTAGACGTTGTTATGACACAGGGCGCTAAGTGAAATGAAGGACAGTGGAAACTGAGAACAAGTCACCTTTGTCGGTTGCCTTCACAATAAAACCACATTTTCACCCTAAGGCGACTTTACGGGAGGCCCAGGCGCGTTTTCTCGGCACGTGGTTGTATGGTCAGGAGTCAGCAGAGGGCGCTGTTGCCATCAGAGTCACCTCCGCGCTTCAGAAAGTGGGAGCCTGAGTGTCCTCAGCGGTCTCGTGGTTCCACGGGGCATGTCTAGCAAACCGCAGCCCTGCCAGTGCAGGTGGGCCTGGCAGCACCTTGCCCCTGTTTTTAAAGAACACTTTCTCTCCTTCAAGGAGAAGCAGTTTTATATCACGTCCCTGGAACTGAGGTGGCTCTGTCTGCTGTCACCATGTCCCTGAAATGGAGTGGCTCTGTCTGCTGTCTGTCATCAGGGAGCTGTGGGATACCTGGACGACTCCCAGGAGGCCACCTGCAGGGAGTGACAGGCAGTCCTTCATTAACACCCAGCTTTCAATGCAGGGACCCTGCCCTGCGCAGGGGACAGGTGTGTGGCAGACACGGGGCCTGCCCAGCCCGGTGACAAGGGCATGGGGAGGGGAGGGTTCTGAGGAAAGCAGGGATGGCATGGAGCTGACTCCGTGGGAGACACCCGGGGATCGGAGTCCCTGGGTCCAGCAGCTCTGTCCTTGTCCGCCTGAGGCTCTTGCCCTGGGCCCCAGCATGGGTCTGGCAGCTCAGTTCCCGGGCTGGGACCACCCACAGGGCGTATCCGGGGAGCCCAGGTCATCGTTTCCTAACAGGCCTCCCAGCACCTGGCAGGGCCCCCTCAGCGGACACAGTGTCCGGGCACAGGCTTCTCCACCACTGATGGTGCATAAAAAGCTCACGTCCTGCTCTCCTGAAGGTTCATTTGACTGTTTCCTGGCACCTTTGTCACAGTCCTCCCCCGGGACCCGGGTGCTTCTCCTTGGACTTGTCTGTGTTCTGCACCTGACCAGTCACGGCCGCCTGAGAGTCATCGTAGAAAGATCCCTGTGACCTCTTTTCAAGGATTTACGATCCTCAAACCTGTGCATTTGCTACCTGCTTCTTTGTGTGTTGCCACTAAAATGAGGCTGAAAGAAAGTTTAGGCGGAGAAATGTTTTACCACCGCGTTGGACTTATGAGAGGGATGGTGGGGTGGGGATGGGGGTGGGAGAAGCAGGCGGGAGATGCCAACAGAGGAATCTGTAAGTCAAACGGGAGCTTGCGCGGGTGCCTGGTGGGGTGGTCTGTATACATTTTGTTTTTTGTGCTTTTGGAAATGTGGATGCTCTGTTGCCTTTGGGTCCCCAAGGCCAGCCCCAGGCTCAGGGATCTGCTAGGAAGACACAGGGCTCCGG